ATTTAGTGCAATCTGTAGCCTTACATGAGTGTGTCGTCAAGGTGCGCAAAGACTTTCCCAGCACAAGCAACAGAAAACACTACAGAAAACGGGTCTGCTTCAATAGAACTTTAGTGCCAATCCTGGATGAGCCCCCGATTATTTTATTATTATTATTATTATTATTAATAATAATAATAATAAAATTAAATTTGAATTAATATTAAATTAAAATTGGGTGCATGTGTTAAAAAAAGAAAACGGATGCATTTGTAAAAAAAATAACTAAACAAATAAAATTGGGTGCATTTGTAAAAAAAAGAAAAGAAAAAGAAAAACAATTGATGTATTGGTAAAAATAAATAAATTATAATAATAATAATTATTATTCAGTATTGATGGCGCCAACAGTTTGCTCAGCGCTTTACAATATAACGGGAGACAATACAGCAACAATACAGTTCAATGCAAGAGGGATAGGAGGGCCCTGATCCTGGGAGCTTACAATCTAAGAGGGAGGGGCTAGTGGTACAAAAGGTAATTTCATGTTTCTTCCTTTTATTCATGATCTCTCCAGACTATTATCGCTTCTTGGAGTCCTCCAGAAACATGACCGGCTCCTTTCTGTCCATAACATGGCTGTGCTTTAAGTCCTTGTCCCTCCCCCTACTTCCGGCCAGCATCACTTCCTTTTGCCTGGGTTTAACCCCTTGACACCGACGTAACACAAATATGTGGCCTCATAGAACTGGGCTCTTTTCTGTGGGGCCACATATTTACATACCTGTCTTTCTGCTGGGAGCACGCTGCATGGAGGAGAGAGATGCATTGTATCTCTCTAACTCCTGGCATAGAGGGGAAAAAAAATGTTTGTAAATAAATATTAAAAAAATAATTAAAGAAAAAATACATTAGATCAAGGTTTAATCTAGTTCAGTGCCAGGGTAAGTGTTTGGGTCAAGGTCAGGGTCAAAGGTCGGGATTGAAAAAAAAACATTTGGTGTCACTGTTTTTTAGGCAAGAAAAAAAAAAATGTGTACTGTTGTTTCTGGGCTGTACTACAGGTACAACAAACAAATAATATACACATGTATGGTATCGCTGCGATCATCAAGAGCTGGAAAATTTATTTTGGGTTGTTCTTTGATGGTAGGTTATGGTAGTAACAAGAAACACACAGCTAAATAAAAAAAAAATTTTTTTTTCACTATTTTGGGCCAAAATAAAATAAATTAATAATTACAATATATATATATATATATATATATATATATATATAAAATTAAAAATAATAAAATAATAATGATAATAAAAAAAAATCAGGAGATATCCATTACCATTTACCACCGAATGAAAGCCCAATTTGTCCTGAAAAAAACGCAGTATAATCCACCTGGATGTACGAAGTAGTTGTGATGATATGTACGGTTTTACTAACACATGTCAAAGTTGCAAAATTGTGCTTAGGCATTTATATGTGTTTTACCTTTAGGCGTGAAGGGGTTAATGAACCAGTCCAACTAGTTAATTAGCATATGGATAGTGGCAGCCTATCATCTAGAAGCAATATATGGTCTTAAATTTTTTTTACATATAGTTATGCTATAAAAATCACTCAAATAGCCATAGCAACACATCTATTTATAAAACATTTGTTGAATAAACGTCGCAAGCATTTGTCTGGGCTGCAGGAATATTCCCCATATTTTCTCTAATACTATAATTTCCTTTGATCGTGGGCTCCACCTAATGGCCAAAATTCAGTATACTTTTTTAAAACACCTCATTCAGAATATATACTGCATTTTGGCTACCAGATGGAGCCCAGGATCATAGGAAGTCATAGTATTGGTGAGAATACTGGGAAAATGTATGCAGCCTTGTCAAATGCTTGTGACATTCGCCGAATATTTGCCCAGAGTTCCACTTTAATCTTGACACAACGCACGGTGTGTTATATATAATCAGTGCTGTGTGTCCAGAAGATATTTTGTATTCTGTTTTATAAACGGTTTATGTAACCGTGATGCATTTCCTAACACCGGCCAGTAATAGGATGGATACAAGTTCAAGAGACATGTAATTATTTATTGTAGGCATCTATATATTATCCATTTACATCACCTCGGCCTTCAAGGAGCTTACAGTCTAAGTTCCCCTATCTCACATGCATACTAGGGCCCTTTACCCTACCAGCTCATCTTCGGAATGTTGGAGGAAACCCACCCAAGCACATGCAAACTCCATGCAGATGGTGTCCTGGTTGGGATTCGAACCAAGAACCCCAGTGTTGAAGTGGTAACCACTATGCCACCATGCTGCCCTATGTATACAAGCACTATAGGGATTTCTCTACATTTTTTTTTAATGTGATATTTTCTTGTTTCACAGGTATGTCACCACGCTGATTGCCAACAAATGAACCAAAAAAACCCTTTGAACCTGTGCGAGTCATGTGACATCAATTTCCACAGCGCCATGCACTTTGATCGACACATACGCTTCGACCTGCCCCCTCAAGGTAAGAAACTCCTTTGTCTTCGGCGAACCGTTTATGAGATCTGCTGTGGAGATGTGGGGGCGATGGATCAATCTAAAAGGAGAATGAAGACCGAAATATATTTATGTGCGCGAGTTCTAAATTTCTTCAGTTCTCCGCTCCTTCTGTGAGATTCTATAATGAGTATATAGATTAGAGGAGACATTCTCAATCAGAGGTCCATGGAAAGGAACCATAAGATTCTTCCAGAGGTTGCTAGGGGTTTCTTGAGCTGTGGTTGGTTGACTTCCCATCTGACGCATAGTTGCAGGACCAGCGCTACTTGACAGAACCAACAGCATGACACCAATGATCATTTTTAGCTATCTGTAAATAATGACCTCCACTGTACGGGGGGGAATTGTTCCTTATGACCACCGATGTAAGGGGAATTTTTACCGTTGAGCCTGGTTTTAGAATTGGTTTTATTAAGGGTTCCTCAAGATCTGAAATCATTTTCTGGGTCCCTCTAGAGTAATAAAGGTTAGGAAAGACTGGGCTAGAGCAGTAATTTTCAACCAAAGTTCCATGGAATGGATCTCTAAGGTTGATGCAGAGGTTGCTAGGGGCTTCTTGAGCTATGGTTGGTTGATTTCCCATCCAATGGTACCTGCATAGTTTCGGGGCCAACGCTCCTTGGCGGAACCAGTGGCATGACATCAATGATCATTTTTAGTTATCTGTAATATTGACCACCAATGTAAGGTGGGCATTGCTACTTCTGACCACCAATTTAAGGGGTATTTTTGCCATTGAGTCCAATTTTAGAATTGGTTTTAGCAAAGGTTCCTTGAAAATTACTTTCTGGTTTCCTCTGGGGTAAAAAGGTTGAGAAAGGCTGGACTAGAGCAGCTATTCTCAACCAAAGTTCAATGGAATGGAACACTAAAGTTATTCCAGAGGTTGCTAGGGATTTCTTGTGGTTGGTTGACCTCCCATCTGATGGTACCTGCACAGTTCCAGGACCTTGGGTAGAACGAGCGGCATGACACCAGTGATCTTTCTTAGAGATTTGTAATAATGATCATCACTATAAGGGAAGCATTGTTACTTCTGACCATCATCACAAGGGGTATTGTTGCCATTTCCCTGGTTTGAGAATTGGGTTTATTAAGGGTTCCTCAAGACCTGAAATCATTTTCTGGGTTCCTCTGGAGTAAAAAAGGTTGAGAAAGGCTGGGCTAGAGCAGTCATTTTCAACCAAAGTTCCATGGAATGGAACTCTAAGGTTGATGCATAGGTTGCTAGGGGCTTCTTGAGCTATGGTTGGTTGACTTCCCATCCAATGGTACCTGCATAGTTCCGGGGCCAACGCTCCTTGGCGGAACCAGTGGCATGACATCAATGATCATTTTTAGATATCTGTAATAATGACCACCAATGTAAGGTGGGCATTGCTACTTCTGACCACCAATATAAGGGGTATTTTTTTGCCATTGAGTCCGATTTTAGAATTGGTGTTAGTAAAGGTTCCTCGAAAATTACTTTCTGGGTTCCTCTGGGGTAAAAAGGTTGAGAAAGGCTGGACTAGAGCAGCTATTCTCAACCAAAGTTCCATGGAATGGAACTCTAAGGTTGATGCATAGGTTGCTAGGGGCTTCTTGAGCTATGGTTGGTTGACTTCCCATCCAATGGTACCTGCATAGTTCCGGGGCCAACGCTCCTTGGAGGAACAAGTGGCATGACATCAATGATCATTTTTAGTTATCTGTAATAATGACCACCAATGTAAGGTGGGCATTGCTACTTCTGACCACAAATTTAAGGGGTATTTTTGCCATTAAGTCCAATTTTAGAATTGGGTTTAGTAAAGGTTCCTCGAAAATTACTTTCTGAGTTCCTCTGGGGTAAAAAGGTTGAGAACGGCTGGACTAGAGCAGCTATTCTCAACCAAAGTTCAATGGAATGGAACACTAAAGTTATTCCAGAGGTTGCTAGGGATTTCTTGTGGTTGGTTGACCTCCCATCTGATGGTACCTGCATAGTTCCAGGACCTTGGCAGAACGAGCGGCATGACACCAGTGATCTTTCTTTAGAGATTTGTATTAATGGTCATCACTGTAAGGGAGGCATTATTACTTCTGACCATCATCATAAGGGGTATTTTTGCCATTAAACCTGGTTTTAGAATTGGTTTTAGTAAGGATTCCTTGAAACCTGAAAATTATTTTCTGGGTTCCTCTGGGATAAAAAGGTTGAGGAAGGCTGGACTACAGTAGCAGATGATTTCACTGAGATCAGAATTGCCCACTTATCTGATAGAATCCAGACACGGGTAGAGTTGTGCCGGATCTCAAAGACTTGGTAGAAACCATTGTGGACTGTAGGGTCAGTAAATGGAAGTGCGATGACTCTTGGCTTCTCAAAGGCTCCATGGAGTAAGAAGAACATAAACAAATGTAAATAAAAGAGCGCCAAACCAGTTTAAAGTCCAAAGGAAGAAGTCCATTGATTGTCTGATCTCTGTGTGTGTGACAGCGCTGGACTGATAGAAGAAAAAAAATTGGTTCTGATGGATCTGCTATAAAGTAAATCCATGACTGAAGTCTAGTATGGTTGAAACCTGTTCTGGTCCTAGGCTTCTACCTCTCTGATAGTGACACAAAGAAACACTCACCAGATAGTAGGTTCTTGAATGTGTACCAAGGAGTGCCTGGTACAAACGTTCGGGTGAATGTCACCAGCACACCGAGGATCATCAATATGGGTCCAAAAGTTTTAATAAATGATCACATAGTTACAGCAAGGCAACGCTTCGGAGACTCGCAGGACCCCTTCACCAGGCATGTGACACTGAAGGAGTTGAGGGAGGAACCTGAACCGTCATCACCAGGAGGCCTCGTTAATCCTCCATGGTCCATGGGTCTCCAAACTATGGCCTTCCAGGGGACGAGGAACTGAAGTCAAACTTTTGGACCCATATTGGTGATCCTTGGTGTGCTGGTGACATTTTGCTGATTCTGTACGGTTCCAGCCGTTGGTCCCTGCAGCACCCACTTATACACACAGCCACGCAGGAACGTGTGGTTTGGATTGTACACTTGCATTCTGGTACAAAAGTTCATCTCACTTGAAGGACTTTTTGAAGCCATCATTGATTAGGAGCATCAGATACATCCAACGGGTTACAAGGGGGAAAATGCCCCGTTCTCCAGGGCATGAGCAATCGGTGTAATAAAAACCCAACAGAACGCACAGAGACCTGTTGTAAGGGACCACCTGGCGGTACCTCTAGCACTCCACTGGTCAGGTTTCCCCAGAGCGCGGAGTCTAAGTCACGGAGCACTTGTTCACCAGGGCCCCTGATGGTGGGGTTGGACTTGGAGCGCACCGAGACCAGGTCGCGACTACTGGATACACCCACCAGTGTTAGAGGAGTGCGCAAAAGGCTCCCGCAGGGTGAGAGCCTGATGTGAGGAGGTCGGGAGATCCCGACGGGATAGATGAGCAAGTGCAGGGTCAAACAAGCCGAGTCGGGAGCCGTGGGGTCGGTGCGGTACAAAGCAGCGGGCAGAGAATAGTCGGGTCACACGCCAGGTCAGAAACAGCAGATCAAATCCAACAGGGGGCATCCAGGAGAGAGGTCAGGCAAGCCAAGGGTCAGATGAGGAGAGTACAGCACAGTCAGGGATAATCCGGGTCAGCAACAATCAGAATTCAGGTACACACAGGATCAGGAACATAAGGAGACCAAACGGCAACCAGTGACAGCTCAAGGGGATTTAAATACTGTGCCCTGCGCTGTCATTGGTGCCAGGCACGCACCCGTGGATCCTAGTGCGCATGCGCGAGTTCCGTCACCGTGGCTGGCCCGGACCTAGCGCCCGCATCCCTGTGCAAGGCGGCACACTGCGCCTGCGCCGGGACCAGCACCGTGGCGATCCCTGACACCTGTGTTAAAATTCTTTGCATGAAGGCAAAAAACTTCTACCTGTAGCAGCCCCCCTCCCCCCCCTAATACTTACCTGAGCCCCATAGAGAACCAGCGATGTTCACGAGAGCCTTGGCTCTCGTGGGACTTTCCCTCCTCGTTGGCTGAGACAGCAGCAGGAGCCATTGACTCCCGCTGCTGTCAATCACAGCCAGTGAGCCGATGAGGAGAGAGGTGGGGCGGGGCCAAGCTGCAGCTCTGTGTGTGAATGGACACGCAGAGCACAGGCTCGGGAGTGAGCCTGCTTGGATGCCCCATAGCAAGCTGCTGGCTCTGGGGGGCACTTGGCAAGAGGGAAGGGCCAAGAGCGCCGGCAGGGTACCCAAGAAGAGGAGAATTGGGGCTGCTCTGTGCAAAACCATTACACAGAGCAGGTAAGTATAACATATTTCTTATTTTTGTTAAAAAAAATTCCTTTAATATCACTTTAAGATTTGATGAAGACCGCCTCTCACCAGGCATTGTGCAATATATGCTGCTAGGGGGAGAGAGCAGAGAGAGAGAGACAAGCTCATCGCTGTGCTGCTTCTCCTTTCACAGTCTAATCACAGGCTGGCGGTGGGTCCAGGATGACTCGGGCTCAGAGGAAGTGGGTTGAATGATGCTGGCCATCAAACTGAGGACATCTAATGGTTGGAATAAAGCACTGCAGGGAGGAAATCTCTGGACTGAATGTAAATATTGCAGCAAAAGCTGCTGTTAGTTTTGAGTTCTGCTCTAAAGCCGCACCTCAGTCGCAGCACCAATGTAAAACTCCTTCTCGACCGTAATTGGCTCCAGCGAGATGCAATATGGCGGCTAACCCCCGCACTTGGGAGAAGATTCTGCAGACGGCAATCTGATCCAACGCAGGATTGAATGTGAGGTGTGGCGGGGAGACAAATCACCTTTCATGAAAACACTTTGATTAAAGCCGGCTTTGTTTTCAGGGTAAAAAAAAGGGAATATCACTCCCGGCATTGGATCCATTAGCAGGCGAAGCTCCTTCCAGCAGATTACAGCAAACCGAATAAAAACGATGCGGCTTATTTACAGCCAAACGCCAGTTTTG